GAAAAGAAAGGAAAGGTTAGAAGGAATGCTTGCCAAACGGTGGAACGCATTTATCAATACTCATGACGCCAAGACAAGACCAAAATAACTCGGGCGCACGGGGCGTAAAATCAAATGAAAGCGATAAACAAGAAAATAACGAAAAAATAAAATAATAAGTACAAGAAAAATCTCCAAAGACTTTTAAGCCGATTATGAGTCATGCAAAAGTGGGAGGGGGAGGAGGAGGAGGGAAGGGGGGATGTTTGGGTGGTGGATTCCCCCCCCCCCCCCACCTCTCTCCCCTTCTCCCGCTCTCTCCTCTCTCATTTTGCTTCTTTACTGCCATCAATTTAATAAAAGGAAGTATGAGAGGGGAGTTATATGTGTTTATATAATTTACTTCACAGAGGAAAACGTGGCTTGTTGTTTATGAAGGAGTAAAGGAAGGAGTAGAGGGAGGTAGGAAGGAGGAGAAAGGAGAAGGTGAAGGAAGAGGAAGACAAGGAAAGGCGGAGAAACGGGGAGGAAACGAAGAGGAGAAAGAGGAAGAGAATGAGGAAGAAAAGGAAGAGGAAGAGTAGGAGGAGGAGGACGTTCTGGAAGGAGCTGTGTATCACATGGCAGACCTTGTCAGTGTGCAGGAACCTGACCCCCCCCCCTCTCCCCATCTTCTACCCCCCTCTCCCTTCCTTCAACCGCACTATCGTCTTCGCCTCTCACCGCTGCCGATCTCCTCCTCATTCTCTCATTCTTCCTCATGAAAAATCACCCGAATTAAAGGCCTCCGACCTCTCTTGAAAGCTGATCGACTCGCCCGCACCGCTTTTCCGTCATGAATAATATCAACGACTGTCACGAATGAATAAATAAAACCTTCCCCTTCTCCCTAAAAATCGAATAAATAACTAGAAAAATAAAACAATAGAGAAAAGAAAAAGAAAAAGAAAGAAAGAAAATGAAAAGAAAAAAAACGCCAATGGAATAGCACGCCTCATACTTTCAAATGCCGCCTCATATGCCACATATCCTCAGACTCTCATACTTTTCTTCGTCGTCCTCACGATGTTTCTCTGCTCCCCCCCCCCCCAACCCTCCACCCCCTGTCACGCCACGGGCCCGACCTCGCTAGTAGGGTTTCCCCGGTGTGTGTGTGAGCGTATGTGTGTGTAAGTGTGCTTGTGTGTGTGTATGTATGTGCATGTGTGCGTGCATGTGTGTGAGTGTGAGTGTGTGTGTGCGTGCGTGCGTGTGGACCTGAGCGTGCACCTTGATACAAGAGTGTGCGTGAGCGTGAGCCTGATTGCATGTTTTCTCCGCCGCGCCCGTGCAGCCGCGTACACATGTGATACGCCAATATGCACACGTGTATGAAAGCGTGTATGAGCGTCCGTGAGAGTCGAGAGAAGAGCAGCATATCCTAACGCATACAGCACATCCTAACGCATCCTCACAGCACATCCTAACGCACGCATCTCACTCCCCAAGCAAGGCACAGCCCCCGTCGAGCGCTAGGAGAGCCCGTCGACGCGCGAGGCCCCAGCCCGCCAAAGGCGCCAAAGGCCTCTCGACAACATCCGCCTCTTTGCAGCAAGTTCCCCGATGGCCTCCTTTCCCTCCGTCGCTCCCCTGCCTCTTCAGCGCCAGGCATCAGCGACGACCGTGTTCCATGACGCCGCTCGCAAAACATATTTCAAGGTCGGCGCAGGCAGGCAGGCAGGCAGAGAGGCAGGAGGGAGGGAGAGGGAGGGAGGGAGGGAGGAGGAGGAGGAGAGGGGGAGGGAGGGAGGGAGGGAGGGAGGGAAGGAAGGAGGAGGGAGGCAGGCAGGCCGGTTAGACGAACGCCCTGGCGCACCGAGCAAACACCATTGCCATGAGATGCGCGCGCGGTCCTCGGTGTGTGTCGGTTGGAGGAGTTTAGAAAAGGGTGGATAGGGAAGAGGTGAGAGGCAAAGGCGAATGTGGAAGAGGGGGAGGGAGAGTGATAAAAGGTAGGAAGGATGCAGAGGCGGATATGAATTCCCTGGAGGAGGCGCCAGGAGGTGCAGGATTGGCAACACTTCTCAAATAGCTTGCAACAAGAGGGATGAAACTTCCTTATAAAGAACACACAAAACCCTCTTATTTGCGCACGGAATTCCGACAGTAATTTCTCTAAAACGAGCATTTTCTCAAGGATTCCATTAGTCGCCTTCATAATTTCTTCTTAATCGCATTTTAAGAGTAATCTCAGGTGTTTCGTTAACAGATGTGAACCGATGATTCACCCGTTTCGGGCGGGCGAATTTTCTCGCTTTTCCTCCCGAGTTTTTAGCTATGTATTTCATCTCCATCCTACGTTTTAACAGAATAAATTGTTCATTGAGTGACTTCACACGAAAACAAAGCGTACGCGTGTACGGAAATCAGGAGCACATGCACGTACAGGCGCACACGCGTGCTCGCTCGCATTCTCTCTCTCTCTCTCACACACAAAACACACCACACCCACCCACAAGTACACACACACACATACAAGTAC